GTGATACTGGCAGACTGAACAGCCATTCACATTTATATAAAGATTATGTTAGGTAGAAAGATAAACAAGTGAAATCCGATAAATTTTTATTGATTTTGATCACGCCTTGATATTGTCATAGCCACAGTATTGGACAAGGTGAATATTTAGGTAAATGCATTTCCATAAGTCCAGAAACTCAATTATATCGTCGGTCTCCGCACGTACAGGCGTAAATGACAAATAATCTAAAATCGAGTTACGCCGTAATTTCACAGATTTTTGTGTAGTCTCTTACTTCACGAAGTGGCGTAGCTGTATATCAGTTCGCTGCTAAGAATTAATATTTTCAGAAAATTGCCTAAGTTATAAAATTCCGAAAACAATTTTCACGTACCGGCTTAAATAGATTTACGCCTCTGCGTTAAAACTGGTTCTACATCACTTTAGTCTAACAAAAAGAAACAGCAACGTTCAGACTGAAAAATCAGTATGTCACTTTCAATCTCATTTATTGCTGATTTTCGTTTTCTAGCTCTCCTGTAAAATTTGTAAAATGTTAGTTACGCCGGTACGTGCGGAGACCGATGATATGATATAGTGACTGTAGACTATTAAACGCTGAAGAACGTGGGTTTTCCTTTAGTGCCGACCTCGAAGCAATGCCAATGCCATTATAGGTCATAATATTATCTATAAAAATGGTCACATATGTATTTTGCATCGTTGTTATTACCTAATTTAGTTTATTGTTTTCGAAACATGCGAGGTCGAAGAAAAACGTTGGCTACAGCAACGTTTATGTGCTGAAAATGTGCATAATAAATTAGACAAGACAAGCATTCTGTAAAAACCTGTATTTTGGGCGTAATTCAAGAAAGAGAGAAAGTCTTTCGGTCGGTCCACGTCAGAGGAGCGAGCAATTTACACATTTTTACTTCGTTTCATATATTTCACAAACGCAGTTCATGACAAATTCTTTAACTGTAACAGAAAATAATATTGAGCTTCTAAATATTTAGGAGAGTACAATATAATCAAAAAAATAATCGTATATGTACAGGGTGTTTCAGAACTATGGGATCAAACTTGTAGGGGTTATTCAGTAGAAAAGATTTGAGTATAGGGACTCATATCCGGAAAAGTGTCACTACGGCAATACGGCCCTCAGACGCGTTAAAATTTATAAAGACGATGAATTGCCTAAATAGGATTTAATGCATTTAATTTTTGCCTTTTGTACATGATATCATCACAACAATTGTTCAAAAGGTCTTCCTCCATCCTGAATACACTGTTCCTATGGGGACACATGTAAAGTCTTTGGTTTACGAAACAGAGCAAGACTTAATTGGACGAATTACAGCAGCATTTGAAATCATTCAAAACGAGTATCAAATTTTTAGTCAACTCCGCCAAATCATGTGCGACGTTTAAATCGGTGTATTCAGGTTGGAGGAAGACATTTTGAACAATTAAATGCATTAAATATTTTGAATTTGAATTTGAAAATGCTATTTAGGCAATTCATCGTCTTTCTAAATTTTAACGCGTCTTAATATTTATAGGGCCATAGTAACACTTTTCCGGATATGGGTCCCTATCCTCAAATGTTTTCTACTGTTACACTGAATAACCCCTAGAAGTTAGATCCCTTAGTGCTGAAACACTTGTATAGCACAATTTTAGCTTAGATGTGTTCATAGTATTGAGACCGCTACTATCGGACAGCTGATAATACGTATATGGTTCAACCTAACATTGTCGCAGGAATGGATTAGATATTAGATAAACATACCAGGATTACCATACGGATCAAACCGGAGTAACCCAGAAATTTAGGTTTATTTTATTTACTTTAATGCAGATTTTGATGATGGATTGTTTCAAGTCCAGTGCCATAGGAATCAATCTCAAAGAAGGAAAGAATTCAAAGGAGAGATTAGGTATTATTGAATCAACAAATTTTGATTTGATCGGTTTCGTTTTGACGCAAATTTTGTCAGAAGGTTCGATTTGTAAAGGAAATAAAACTAGTTGCACTTAATGGAGAGTTTTCGCAATCTCATATAGGGCACACGTAAACGTTGGCATTTAAGTCAAAAAAATTAATGGATTATAAGATATCGATAACAGTTTCGTATGCGGTATGCATATATGTTTAGCTACCTATGTTATAAAGCAAGATGTCAATCAAATTTTATTTTGTAATACCAAAATTGCTCCCAAAAAGAGAGAATTCTTATAACTGGATCTACGTGGGTGAAATATAATGCATAGGACAAGTATTGAGAAATCAAGACCTAAGGAAGCACAACAAAATTCATAATGCACTATGGGACCTCTATTTATAGGTAGAAACTCAGAAGAAAACAAGTACACACATATTCGCTAATAGAAAAATCATTTCTAACAGCTGATTTGCAAAAAATCATACAGTCATCATCAAGTGAGCATATAAAAGAGCTAAATAATGAAACAATAGGCATGCCACACCTCCGAAAAGCAAGTAGGTGTTGAATCAAACAAAGCACGATCGAATAACAAGTGACATCCAGTTTACGACAGGAAGTGGGTTTGCGTTCATGGATTGTATTACACCGTGCACCGCGGTGGTTACACGGTGTCACACATTTATATGGGTGTTCGTTTCGTGCATACTAGTATTGGGTTTCGAGCGAAATTCATCTCTTTTGAAGACTTTCCTTCGCACAAGTGGAACAATAAGGTTTTTTATCCCGAAATATCAGTTTGAGAAATATTCTTACCACAAAAATGTTATACCTAGAGACAATATAAAGCGCTTTTCAATAATATCCCGCCTACTTAGTTTCTGAGTGTAAGACTTCATTTTGAAGCTACTGAGTAATTTATAATCCTAGAACATGAATTCACTATCTGTCAAAATTACGGATTGGCAGCCTGTCAATGTCAGGGTTTATGTACTTTGAATCGCTTATAACTCAACAACCAATCAAACGTTATAGTATGTTATAACAAACAAAGTTTTGATTTTTTAATTTGGATATTTAGCACAACTAAAACTCAGGAAACCGACTAATTAATATTTTGATTTTACGCTAGTTACTGAGTTCCTCCGCCGACAAACAAGGTATTTACGAAGTTATACAACCGTTATTGTTAAATTATGGTCCCTAAATATGATGTATGTTCAAGCGGTATGAGTAACTTGGATTTACTGATGCCCATATTATCTAGAGAGTATTTGATTGGAAACTGTTCTCTCAAAAGTTGCAATCTCACAATGAGAATAGTACTAGACTACCATTTGGCACATCATTAGCAACAATATCAAGTATTGCCTAGATACCAGCTAATCAATAGGCAAACAGAGAATAATTTTGATGATGAGTCTTTGGGACTGTCCTATCAATAGGAGAGTTCATTTTGGTGGAACGCTTGCCACTGTTTTATACTGAAGCAGCCGCGCATGCAAAAGCCTAAATACTTTGTTAATGCGATTTTTTAATAGTAGAACTAGGTAAAGCCTGCACACGTAGGGTGCGCAGCGGCCACCATGGAGGAGAGGTCTGAAGAGAACTAGATCGCCAACGGCCCGACGGTGCAAAAGGGTCCCGAGACTGTCACTAAGAGAAGAGCCATCGATCATTCGGACAGCCCTCCTCTGAACAGCATCGAGTTTGGACAATGCAGTCTGGGCGACAGCACCCCAAACATGTAAGCAGCTCTGCGTCTAGGTGTTATCTTTGCCTTCTACAGAGTGAAGAGGTCATGTGAAGGAAGTGCTTAGCCCTAAACGATCTGTGGCTAATGTACTATAAGAGAAACATTACCACCTTTTTCAACAGGGCTCCGATCATAAATTGTTCCAGAGACTTCGTACTACCATGTAACAATGTCAACGTTCGTAATTGTTCGACGAACCTGTTCCATGCATTCTGCAATAGACCAGTCATTATTCTGAAACGTCAAGGGTCGCAGGAAATATGGTTAGGAACAAGTCGGCTGTCATAGTGTCATTACATGACTCTGTAACGATTTAGGCGTTCTAAAATAAAGTTACACAGTTATTTGAGAGTAAAAAACGCACCCCTCTTTGGTGACATGATTCAGTTCCGACTAATCCCTGGGAAACGCATGCAGGCGCAAAATGGAATACAAATTCATAAAATATGTCAATCACCATACCAACAGTATTAAGTACATCAAAATTATTGAAATGATGCAATGATAGTGTAATTACTGAAATTGCTTATTTTGCTATAAAACACAAAAAATTATAATGAGTACCCAATCACTAAGGAATACCTAATACGCCTTACATAATAGCATACTTGATTTTTATGCTACTATTACATAAATAGGAATAGATGAAGAATAGATACGCTTACATTATTCCTAGCTTACTGTAAAAATTCTCTTCACATACCGCATACCGTCGTACCACAAGTTCTGTTCAAATACTAAGTCGCGTTAATTTTATTCTTTTAATTTGCTTGATACGCGCACAGTTTGTAAAGTAGCTGGTGTACTATCAATTCGTTATCTAAAGTGAAATTAAGATATTACGACATTACGATGAACCTGTAGGTTTTTACACACAGACACCTTCGAGCATTGACATGAAACTCGATACTCAAGCGAATCAAGAAGTAAACCATTTTCTTCAATTTCTCTAAAATAGACTAATCGATGTTTTTCAGAATTATCCGGATTAGAAATTGCATTAGGATGGAACTCGGATATATTTACCTGTTCAACTGTCCAAGGCATTGTAGCTGTTTTGTTCCTGAGATAATCCCTATAACGTTCACATGGAGAATCATATCTTCAATATTATTTCAGTTCTTACAAAACACTTTACAGCAATATTTCAAAAATATACATATGACACTTGACAGGGATAAAAACGGTAACTCAATTTTTGACTCCACGTTGCTGCTAAGCGTGCTATGTGTAGTTATGTGACCGAAGATTTGCAAGAAATGTTATCTCATGACTGCTCTAGTCCCAGTTTAAGCAGAATAATGATAAAATTGTGAATTCCTGCAAAACTTAATCTGAAGTTTAAATGTTCATACTCAATTATTTTTTTAAACAGTCCTAAGCTTTTCGCAAATTAGAATGAGCATTACAACCTCATTTTTCATCACGATGTTTGATTTGCTCATTAATGATACACGCCACTTGGATAGATGTAAGAATGAGTTTAGTGTCAAAAGGTTCTATGACACATTATATGACTATTACTACTATGTGAAAAGTTCATTTGGTTCTGCATAACATAATCGTTTAATGATCAAGATAATTTCAAATTTGCAGTATAAATGAACCAATGAAAAACGTGTAATTAAAGGCAGGGTTAAAATGTATAACACTCTAGGGCAGTGGAATTATTTTGACAGGTATTGGCCCCCCAACCCATGGCTGAAAAGGAGTTCGCCAATCGGCTTCGCTTTACGGAAAATTATATCATGAAGGCCATTGTTGAGTTTATAAGTTCAAAACACTGGTTTTTGTAAGCCCTGATGTGGCGTATGTGCTTTAATGGCCTAGATATTCTCTACTTGGTTTTTATGTTTTCATTAGTTGTGTTTTGTCAAACTAAATAATTTCTTACGTAAGTTTTAAAAATATTGTACTCACGTATTTTGGAATTATCAATTACTAATTTGTTATACTGCTTTATGCAACTGTGGATGGTTATCACTATAAAAACATTTAAAATATATTGAGACACTATCAATAGTTCAAGTTCCTTGTCATAGGTATTTTTGTTTTAAGAGAGTTAGCGAGAAACAAATCTCATATTTAAAAATGTCGTTCACTTTTCTGCTAATTCTGGCGCAAATCGCACATAGTGTATCAGTTGTGCTAGCACATGATTTCAATGATGGTGAATTAAAATATACAGGGTGTCCAATAAGTACCACGACAAACTTAAGGAGAAGGTAGACTTTGGACTGATCTCCCAAATAACAAAAACTTACCTATATAAAAGTGTCACCGTTTTAAGATTTTGAATTTTTTCTTAAATTTAAAAAAAACACACCTTTTCATCTGCATGTACAAATAAGGTTATACTTTTTTCATTTTTTCTATAAAAATATAGATAGTTGCTTTATCATATACAAACGCAATGTAGTTAAAAGATATTAAGGAACCATGATCAAATAAGGACTATTTTGGGATTTATAACCTTTTGATATTTTTTCCTCAACTTTGACCATCTGTGGTGAAACAAAAATGTACTGGGCTATAACTTCATTATATTGAATAACAATATTGCTCATTGAATACAGATTTCAGAAAGGCACCACACGTACTATTTGGGATAGAAAAAAGTGATAACTGCCTGTCACACACTACAATGTAATTATTGGATTCAAATTCAAGTTGCAAGTTACCGATCGGTGACATGCTAAATAGTACAAAGCTACATTATTATTACCTGCTCCTGATATGATTTTATGAAAGTTGGGGAAACAATATCAGAAGGTGGAAAATTTGAAGATCACAGGTGAAAAGGTTCGTTTTTTTCAAAATTTAAGAAGAAATTCAATATCTCAAAAACGGCGACACTTTTATATAGGTAAGTTTTCGCTATTTGGGAGATCAGTCCAAAGCCTGTCTTCTCCTTAAGTTTGTCGTGGTACTTATTGGACACACTGTATATAAGAGGCATCGCAAAACAGCTTCCACTATACTGCGATTCTTAGAAAAATAATTAGCAGACCAAAGATAAGAACGCTACATTCTGATATTAAACTAAGTATATTCTGGTTACTTTCTTCTCGCGAAGAGTACAATGTGTAGTGTGCGTCAATCTTTTTTTGTAAAATGTGTGTGGTATAATGTCCCACTTTGGTCTAAGGGCGGTATCGTTAGTCGTTCCTACAACTGTATTACACCTTTATGGCCTCCATGATTTTCATAGTATTTTCTTTCCTTCAGGTATTACTGT